GCGACGAAAAGTTCTTCGCCGCGGTGACAAGACGGCAGAAAAGTTTCTTGAGGTTTCTAGAAAATTTTTCATAGGGGTAAAATGACCTTTCTATCCCTAATTAGCAGGAAAAGTGGGGAGTAAAATGTAAGGAAATTTTATGGAGAATAGTGTAAAATGGGGGTGAGTTTGTAAAGAATTAAAGGATAAAGGTGGAATTTCAAGAAATAGTAAGGGCAAAATGGGAAAGAGTGTATATTAGATGAGTTAATAAGGGTTGAGTTCTCTAAACCCCTTCATTTCACCCATTTGCACCGCCTCTTCATCCCTCATTTTCTCTCAATTTCTCACCCAATTTTCCAAGGGATTTTTGAGAGTTTGGAGTTGGAATTTGACAAAGAAGTGATCCTAAGCAAGAAGAGGTAAGAATCCTTACTCTAGATATGAGTTTTATTTATGTAAGGGTTAAGTTCTTACTAAATTTATGCTTAGGAAATAAGGAAAAGCTATAGTCCAACAAGAGTAGAGAGCTTTAATGGAGACTACTCAAGTATGAGGTAAGTAAATCCAACTCAAGTTGAGATTTAAGGAATCTAATGAGTAGAGATTTCTTTATGCATGTTTATATTATACTTGTGTAGAGATTGCTATTGATTGTGAATATATTTGAGTTATGAGAAGTGTTCTACTTGCATGATGATGAGTTGAGTTTGATTGAGATTGGAAGAGGTTGGAGTAGATTTTTGGGAGTGTGTTTCTTTAACAGGGAATGAGATCATGCAAGAGAATTTCCTCCCATTTTGGGATGGCCTAAGAGAGAAATAAAGTTCTCAATAAAGTAGAGTTTTTGTATGCACATGAGTTGTTTGATGAAATGCCTAAGAGAAGCATGAGTATGAGTAGAGAACCATAATTCTTGCAACATTGCATGTTGGCATTTCTTGAGTGCATTAATGAGCATGAGCCATCCATATGCATTGGTTATGCATTGAGAAATAGCTTGAGCAAGAATAGAGATCTTTGTGAATAAACTACTCTAAGAGTAAAAGAAGAGAATAAAGTAGGTTGTGCGATGGGGAACCCGTGAGTGATGAGTGAAGTCACGAGAGTGGGTGCTTTGTGATCCCCAGCCGTGCCTTCGGTTCCGGTCAGATGAGGCTGTGACCATCACGAAGAGTGGAACATGAGGTTCCAGTCGTGCCTCCGGTAAGATGGGGTCGTGACATTCAGAGAGAGAGAGAGAATACACTCACGTGACCAAGGGTTCCGAATCCATGCATGACCAAATCCGATCGGTAGAGAAATGAGTAGAAGTCACGTGGAGTGGTAGCGCCCAACCGTGCCTTCGGTCAGATGAGGTCGTGACATTCCAATGAGTAAGAATGAGAAACAAAAGAATAGAAAGAACAGAAAGATGATAGAGTAGGTTGTGCGATGGGGAACCCGTGAGTAATGGGTAGAGTATTCCCGCATGTACGCCGCATTGAAAGAGTGACACGAGTATGAGAAAGAAAAGTGGTGTAGCCCATGAGAGTGCATGTGGATGAGGGCTATACCCGAGAGTACCCGAGAGAGAGATTATACACTCACATGGCCAAGGGTTTTGAATCCATGCATAACCGAGTCCGATTGGCTGAGGATGAGTAGAAGTCACAGAGAGCGGGAGTGAGCCCCAGCCGTGCCCTCGGTAAGATGGGGTCGTGACTTACTAAAGAGAGTTAATAGAAAAGAGTTATGAGAAAGAGAATCAGTAGAAGTCACGGAGAGCGGGAGTGAGCCCCGGTCGTGCCCTCGGTAAGATGGGGCCGTGACTTACTAAAGAGAGTTAATAGAAAATAGTTATGAGAAAGAGAGACAGAAAGAGAATCAGTAGAAGTCACATAGAGTGGGAGAAGTCCCGGTGGTGCCTCCGGTAAGATGGGGCCGTGACATTCAAAGAGCGAGTTGGTAGAAATGAATTATGAGAAATGAGAAAGAGATAATAGAGAGAATTAAAGAATGAGAAAGCTTGAGAAAACTTGAGAAAGAATGAGATAGAAAGAGAGAATATGAGAAAAAATGAGAGAATTTGAGCTAGTAAGAATCGAGAGTAGAAGAAAAAAACATGCAGTTCTTTTGTATTAATTGCATGTACAGCTCATACAGTCATGCACCATGATTTTCTTTCATGGTGAGTATGATGAGAATAAGAGAGAACCATGATTTTCCTTCATGGTGAGTATGATGAGAATAAGAGAGAACCATGATTTTCCTTTATGGTAAGTATGATGAGAATAAGAGAGAACCATGATTTTCCTTCATGGTGAGTATGATGAGAATAAGAGAGAACCATGATTTTCCTTCATGGTGAGTATGATGAGAATAAGAGAAGGAGAAAAGAGAATAAGAACGGAGAGAAAGAAAGAATAAAAAGAGTAGAACAGAGTTAAAGAAGAATAAAAGTATTAGAAAGAGAGAGAAAAACAGTGAGAATTAGAAATAGAAAAACGGTAAATTAAGGAAAGAACCAAAGAGTGAGTTGCGGGGACAGGTAGTAGAGGATTTACTTACTGAGCATTGTTGTGCTCACCCCGTTGTTCTTCTCTGTTTTGCAGGAAATAGAAGCAGCGGTCGAATGGGCGTCGAGGAGCGGAGAGTATTGACACCACTGTCCACCAGCTATGATGTTTTGTATTAAGTAGAAAGTTTTTAATACATTGTATTTTGTATTTTTTATGAGTAAAGAAAAATTTTGAACCCACTATCTTTCATACGTTATGTATATCTATAATTTACATAGTATGTGTTATAAAAATAGTCATAGAGAGCAGGTGTTACGGTCAACATTGAGTACATGACTACCGTTAATAAATTATATTAAATACAAAATTTGAAGCCTTGAGAATTAGCATTTTTTTTAGAAAATATCTCGAGAAATAGCACAATCCTAATTCACACAATATTTTCAAATGAAATTACCCCATATATATAATTAAAACTTACACTATTCGCCCATCTTCTTCAACCCCCACCTTCCCATCCCTCCTTTGCTAGAATACAAACTTTTAACCCTAAACTAGTACCCACCTCCTATTTGTACCAAAATTGAAGGGAATTTGAGTGGAAATACTGGTTTGGATTTAGAGTTTTTGGTGGGATGTTAGGGTTAAGAATGGGATGTATGTTGAAGTGTTGTTGAGTTGTTTAGAAGGGTGAAAAAAAATGGTTGAATAATTGGGTTGTATGGCTGTGAAATAGCAGCTGAAATCTATACGGTGCATTTGGTTTATTATTTTGGATATGATTTTGGAGATAGTATTCGATAGTTTTATAGGGTGATTATTACGAGGTAAAATTTAAAAATTTACAAAAAAACCCTTTAGGTTTGCTAATTTAACTAAACACCCCAATATATAAATTTTTTGTAAAATTATAAAAACACCTCCACCCACCCACAGTGCCAAATTCCAGCCACCACCGCCGAAATCTAGCGTTATGACATAGATTATGTGGATCTGGCCGGACGTGCGTCGATCTGCTCGGAAAAGGCCAAATTAACGGTTAGATTTGGTTGTCAACAGCCACAAAAAGCCAAATCTGGCCGTCAACGATGGTCAGATCAGCGAGATTCCGACCATTTTTGGTCGTTTTTAGGCAGTTGTGACAGATTCCGGCTACCACTGACGGTGGTTGCCGGAATCTAGCAACTATGGGTGGGTGGGGGTATTTTTGTTAATTTAAAAAAAAAAATTCCTGGGGGTATTTAATGAAATTAATTAAGTTAAAGGGTCTAAAAGTAATTAAAAAAATATAATAATATTTCCTAAATAATTAAACAAACAAATATTTTTGGAATAGGATTGAGAATATAGATAGAAATATTAAACCAAACGCACCATATGTTTTTTGGTCAAATCAAAGTGTTTTGGCCAAAAGACGCAAGTTATGTTGAAAAATATGAAGTCGATTTTTGGTCAAATACCTTGGATTCGACTGGATAAGGCCAAGACAAGTTTTGTCCAAACGGTCGAAGCAGCTAAATAGCATGGTTTTGGCAATATTTGGCCACCTTATTATCAAAAGGCAGAATTGGCCGAAATTGGTGGAAATTCCAAATCCTCTTAAATTGGACGAAACCCATACCTAGATTACGCCTAAACCACCTATTTTCCATATATCCATTGAAATATAAGCTTAATCAACTATAACAATAATAAATCATTTCAAAAATAATTCATTTAATATGTTTCTTATACATATGTGCAGCATACTAAAAATTTATATTTTAAACAATTTTCAAAAAACAAAACTTTCATTTCAAGAAATCTGTTAAAAAAGTGCTTTTCAAGATCACAAATTCAAGTTTTCACTTAGATTTTAAAGTGGAAGTATGGGTTTTAAATTAATGGTCAGGGATTTGTCATTAGGGGTAATTTCGTCCGCCAATTTTGAGCAAAATGAAAATGTGTTATTTCTTGAGACACTGTAAAAAAAGTATTAGTTCTCAACTCCCTCTCTTTAACTGTTTCATTTAATATAATTAAACTTACTAAAAAAGAAATTTGGTAAAAAAGAAATTAAATTGTTTTATTATTACCGTCTTAAATCAATCTAAACTTTGAAAATTGAAACCAAGGGAAGATAAGACTTCTCATAATTATTTAAGTTATTAATTAAAAGGGTATAATAAATATTAAAGAAAAGATTAAAATTAATTCGTTTGATATAAAAAGTATTAACTCTTTTATATTTATCATATATAACATTTTTAAACTAAGGAAATAAAATAATAATAAAGATAATGCATGGATGCATGTTAATTAGATTTAGTAGACTTTGATAATTAATATTTACCCTAATGGTAAGGTAACGCTAATTATCCACAAAATCTTCTAAAACATTAATCAATTAAAGAGTGGAAATAGAAATAACCGCGTCACGGAAATGCTCGTATACATGGCGGTAAAATGGAAAACCACGCAACCAAACGGAGACCTAAAAACAAAAATAAATAAATAAAAATTAAATGAAGAAAAAATTAAATGGAATAAAATTTAGGAAAACGAAATTCTCTGCTCTTCTTTCTTGTGTTGGTACTTGGTGGTGCGAAATCCAGGCCTCTTTCTCTTCATCTCTGTCTCTGATTCTTTAATCAAATATTTTCTTCACAATCTGTAAGTTTTTTTTTTTTCTTTCTTTCGAAATCATTCTATTTCTTCATATTCGTTTCGTTCTAAATTCTCATTTTTGTAGATTATTTAATTTCAATTTACGGTTTTAGAATTGAATAGATCTTCAAAACCTAGATCTTGCCTTTTCTCTGTTTAGCTATATCTGATTTAGGGATCTCGATGTAGGAGCAATCTTACAGCTCGAACTTCGAGGTACTTGTGTAATTTTTGTATAGTTGGAGGGTATCTAGGTTTCGATTTCTGTAGATCACGAACACTTGGGGACTATTGAGGATTGGGTCGATCGATGGCTTCGAGTCCTCCTCAATTTCAGGCGGAGGATCAGACGGACGAGGATTTCTTCGACAAGTTAGTGGACGAAGAAGATTTCGGTGGGCCCACACATACCACCACTACCTCTGCTTCCTCCGCCCATAAAATATCGGAGTCGAATGACTCCGATTCAGACGATGCTAAAGCTTTTGCGAATCTGAATATAGATGATAGTGGAATTGATACGAGAAGCAAAGTTGTTACCGAATCAATTGCAGAAACGGAAAGTGAATCAAATGCTGGTAGCGTAATTGAATTGAATAATGATAGTGATAATAAGGATGGGACTGGAATGGAGGATGTATCGGATTCAATTGCTAGTAAGAACGGTGGATCTGTGGTTAAGGAGGTGGGATGGAGTGCATTCAATGCAGATGGTAAACAGCAGAATGGGAATCATGGTTTTGGTTCAGACTCGGATTTTTTCAGTGGTTGGGAGGACAATTCCATGGAATTTCCTACACGGGTGGAGGAAAACGTAAATTTGAATGCCAGTGGATTTGTATCTGGAAATGAAGTGCTTAAGGCTGCTGGTTCTATAGAGAATTCAGTTAATTATGATTTTAATGCACAAAGCCAAGAGAGTCAAGTTGATGGAGCACAAGAGATGGTGAATGGGCATGATATGAATAGTAGCGTTTATTGGGAGAATTTATATCCAGGGTGGAAGTATGACATGAATACTGGGCAATGGTATCAGGTGGATATGACGGCAAGCATTCAAGGGGGCTCTGATGCAACTTCAGGTAATGATTGGAATGTTGTTTCAGAGAAATCAGAGGTATCTTACTTGAAACAAAGTTCTCAATCTGTTGTGGAGACTCTACCAGAGACTAGCACAACTGAGAGTGTGTCTAACTGGAGTAGTCAGGTTTCTCAACGGGATAATAATGGTTATCCAGGGCATATGGTTTTTGATCTGCAATATCCTGGTTGGTATTATGACACAATTGCTCAAGAATGGCGCTCATTGGAGAGTTATGATTCAGCTAGACAGTCGACAGTTCAAGCTCATGATCAGCAAAATCAAAATGGTTTTGCCTCTACTGGTACATATATGGACAACAGTAACAGTATATATGGTAAATTTGGGCAAGCTGATACATATGGGTCACAGGTTGATGGTAGCCAAATCCAACATGGATTTCGAGCTGATATTTATGGGTCGCAGGCCCTTGGCAACCTAGATCAACAAGGAAGCTGGGCTCAGACTTACAGTAATTACAACCAGCAGGGTTTGAACATGTTGCAATCTGAGACTGTTGCTAAGCTTATTGATGCTTCAAATTTCAGTCAACATCAGCAGGTGGATAATTTTTATGATTCAAAGGCTTCTATGAATAACCATGTGGATCAACAGAAATCTTTTAATTCGATGGGGACAGTTGCATCATATGACAAAGCAAGGCAAGTTCATGCTGAGGCTAATGGGATTGCTGGGTTTAAAAGCTTTGTCCCTAGTAATAACTTTAGTCATCAATTGAATCAGCCATATGTGAAGCAGAATGAACAAATGCAGTTTTCAAACGACTATTATGGTGGTCAGAAAGCAGTAAATGTTCCACAGCAGTCATTTCAGAGTGGCTGCCAGAATTCTTATGCTCCAAACATGGGAAGATCGTCTGCTGGTCGCCCTCCGCATGCCTTGATTACTTTTGGGTTTGGTGGAAAACTCATAGTGATGAAAGATAATAATTCTCTCCACAACTCATCATATGGAAGCCAGGTTAGGACCTAAAATGTTATTTCAGAGTTTATTTAAGATGCCTTTGGTTGCTACATTTTTAATTTTTATGTTTTGATTTTGATCTCTCTGAAAGGCTAATCATGCAAGTTTGTTTTATGTGAAGGATCATGTAGGAGGGTCTATTTCTGTTCTGAACTTGATGGAAGTTGTCTCTGGCAAAACCAGTGATTCTAGCACTGGAGCAGTCACATACTTTCGTGCACTATGCCAACAAGCCTTTCCAGGTCCATTGGTTGGTGGCAATGTTGGAAGTAAGGAGTTGAATAAGTGGATTGATGAGCGGATTGCAAACTGTGAATCTCCTGACATAGATTACAGAAAGGGTGAAGTTTTGAAGTTGCTTCTCTCTTTACTTAAAATTGGTTGTCAACATTATGGAAAACTTCGATCTCCTTTTGGTGCTGACACTGCATTGAGGGTGAGTTAACTCGTTTTTTATTTGGCGATGGTTTTATTTATTTATTTATTTTTGGATTTTCCCTTTTTTTTGTTTGAATAATTATTGTCTTTAGGTTTCTACATTTTTTTCTTCCAAATTTTAATGTGCATTGTGCAGTTCTTCCTATTTTTCATGCTACTTTGAGATTGACCCTGGATTGTTAAGTAGCTATATGCTTCATTCAGTATTCTTTTGTATTGGGTCATGTTTGTCATTTGGCCTTTTTCCAGCTAGCCTCTCTTTCATCATCTTCTTGGAATTCTTATAGACTCAAATATGTGCCCTATTTAGCAGGCAAGAAGCTTATTCTCCTTTTATAGCTTGGCACTAATGAATCTATATCTCCATTGACAGAGTTGTTGTATTCAATTCAAAGAATCTTTGAATCAGTGACTGGATCAGTTTATATGCTTGTTTATTACCAGTTTCCAACTTGTAAAAATTAAATTAAATAAATAACTCTACATGCTTTCAAAATTTGTGCCTTTTCTGTTCCCTTTTTGCGATGATGTGGCTTGTCGAAGCTTTGGTTTGATGATAGGTACAAACTTCAAGCCGAACTTTTTTTTGGGGGGGGGGGGGGGGGGGGGGGGGGTGTTGTGTTTCTAATTTTTGTTTTATTTAAAAAAAAATTATATTATTTTTGTTTATATGTTTTAGGGTAAACGGTGTACTGCAAAAGAGCAACTAATCATGTTTAAGAGTTGTTTAATTACAGTATCATAAAACAATAGGAGATTCCATGCACATTAATAAACACGGAATACATGGAGTTTTTGTGCCAAACTACAGGAAATGTCCTAGTGATGGTTGTAAAATAAGTAATTTAAAAATGAGCATGTTGTAGTTTACTGGTCAGTTCATGCTGTATATTTCAAAACGTTCTCCTTTATAAATACCATTTTAAGCTATGTGTCCTTGTCTTCTGTTGTGTACACCTCCCAATGGTGGATTCTTTCACTTTTTTTTCCTTGGTGATAGTTTTTCTTTTCCTTGATAGTAATATTCATTTAGAGTCATCAAGATATATGATTAATTTGGCATTTGGCATTCTTATTAGTTCTGTGATTTTGATAGGAGAGTGATAGTCCAGAATCAGCAGTTGCTAAACTCTTTGCATCTGCCAAGAGGAATGACACCCAGTTTGGTGCTCTTAGTCAATGTGTGCAGAATTTGCCACCTGAAGGACAGATTCGGGTATTCTATGCATCACAATGCAAATCTTTACTATTTCTCTACAGACAATTTTGTAATTTTTTTTCCTAAATGTACTTCTGAATGTGTATTTCAGGCAACAGCTTCTGAGGTGCAGAATCTTTTGGTATCTGGTCGAAAAAAAGAAGCTCTGTTATGTGCGCAAGAAGGTCAGTTGTGGGGACCTGCCCTTATCCTTGCATCACAACTTGGTGATCAGGTTTGCTTTCTGTTCCATGTTTTTCTCTTATGAGATGATTTTATGTTTGAGGACAACCATCAATTTTTTTTCTGATGCTTGCGCCTATCTCTCTCTGCTTTTTATTTTATCTCACACATGGATCCGTTCTTGGGTGCTAATATGGGGACTTGGAATCATTGCAGTTCTATGTTGACACCGTGAAGCAAATGGCACTTCGGCAGCTGGTGGCTGGATCACCTTTGCGGACATTATGCCTGCTAATAGCTGGGCAACCGGCAGATGTGTTTACCTCAGACATGTCAGCTAATAGTGGTCTTCCTGGTGCTTTTAATATGTCTCAACAACCAGCACAGGTAAGTTATTGATGGCAGAGTTGTCTATTCTTGCATTTTATGCTAAAATTAGTGTATTGATTTATTTGTCTGTGCTATGTCGGGGATTTTTTCAAAATAAAAAAATGTATATATTTCCTAGCATAAAAAATACAAGGGGTGTATACATCTGAGAAAGAGAAAGTTTCTAAGAACACTCTTAGCCAAAAGAGGAGATTTTATTTAGGTCATTTTGATATGGGGCTGCAATTAGTTCCTCTGACAACAATAATAGTTAGATCATAAGCTAGAAGAAAAAATAAACCTGTATTTAAACCTAGCTACCACATTCCAGGGAACTACTGGCATTTAGTGAGCTGTTGTGTCATTATCATCTTTTAAGGATCTACAATTTAAGTGCTGTTTGACATAAAGGCTCAATGTTTACTTTTTAATTTTGATGTTGCGAGCTGCAGTCTGGGGCTAATGGCATGCTTGATGATTGGGAGGAGAATTTGGCTGTAATAACCGCAAACAGAACAAAAGATGATGAACTTGTGATTATTCATCTTGGGGATTGCCTATGGAAGGACAGAAGTGAGGTATATATATATCATTTTACATTACTTACTCTACCTTGCATTGATTTTATATATATATTCTGGAATCTCACTTGAGAGTTTTATTTCAGATAACTGCTGCCCACATCTGCTACTTAGTTGCAGAAGCAAACTTTGAGTCATATTCAGATAGTGCGAGACTTTGTCTTATTGGAGCAGATCACTGGAAATGTCCTCGAACATATGCTAGTCCAGAGGCTATTCAGGTGCTCTTGGAATTTATTTGGCTCTCAGGCATTGCTCATTTAAAAGCTGTGTTATTTATGGTTAAAAGAAATCAGCGGGCTTTTAGTTGCTTCTTGTACATCTTGATAGCCTCAGCCTCTGTCTCTGTTTCTGTCTGTCTGCCTGCCTGTCTGTCTGTCTCTCACACACACACCCCCTTATGTCTGCACACAAACACATGTGACACGCTGCATTCATGTTGGACACAAATAAACATATCATTCTTCATCAATTTGTTTTGTGGATTATGCTTAATAAAATCTTACTGAATTGATTCAATGGCTACTTGGACAGAGGACCGAGTTATATGAATATTCGAAGGTGCTGGGAAACTCTCAGTTTATCCTGCTACCGTTTCAGCCATATAAGCTCATATACGCAAACATGCTTGCAGAAGTGGGAAAAGTTTCAGAATCTTTGAAGTATGTTTATGTTTTTTTTTACTTTAATCTACCAAGTAATTCTGCCTTTACTTCTCTTGATGTGGTGAAATTAACTCAGGTATTGTCAAGCACTGTTAAAATCTCTGAAAACTGGTCGAGCTCCTGAAGTAGAAACATGGAAGCAATTAGTGTTATCTCTTGAGGAGAGAATTAGAACCCATCAGCAGGTATTTTCTGGCTTCCAGTATTTCATCTATCTTTTAGCTGTTTTTCCTGGTCATACTAAATGAAACTTGTTAACAGGGTGGATACACTGCAAATTTGGCTCCAACAAAATTAGTTGGTAAATTGCTCAATTTTTTTGATAGTACTGCACATCGTGTTGTTGGAGGCCTACCACCCCCTGCACCATCAACATCACTCGGAAATGGTCAAAGTGTTGAAAATTATAACCAGCCTATGGGCCCAAGAATTAGTCAATCAACAATGGCCATGTCATCACTGATGCCTTCTGCTTCAATGGAACCAATAAGTGAGTGGGCGGCTGATGGCAACAAAATGACAATGTCTAATAGAAGTGTCTCAGAGCCAGACTTTGGTAGAACTCCAAGACAGGTGTGATTACCTGGAGAGAGTACTCCATATTCATGTTTAACTGCTTGAGTAACACATGCATAATCCTTTATTTATGAAATCGTCATGACATCTGGCAGGATCACGGTGATTCGTCAACGGAAGGAACCTCATCCAGTTCACCAGGCAAACAATCTGGCTCAGGTGGGGCATCTCGATTTCCTCGTTTTGGTTTTGGTTCAGGGCTTTTGCAAAAGACAGTGGGGCTAGTCTTAAGGCCTCGATCAGATAAACAGGTAAGTTCTTGATCTGTATCCTCATAGTACATTAGGTTTTACTCGATGATTTTTCATGGAAAATGTATATCGGTATCCCAGTTGATTGTTTGTTTGGATTTGCATTCCTTTTGAAGGCTAAACTAGGTGAAAAGAATAAATTCTACTATGATGAAAAGCTTAAGAGGTGGGTGGAGGAAGGTGCTGAACCCCCAGCTGAAGAAGCGGCCCTGCCACCCCCTCCAACAATTGCATCCTTCCAGAATGGAACTTCTGACTACAACTTGCAATCTGCATTGAAGAGTGAGGGTGGCTTTCCCAGTAATGTTAGTCCGCCATTTAAAACTCCATCTCCATCAGAACATACATCGGGGATCCCACCGATTCCAACCAGCACAAATCAATTTTCAGCTCGTGGGCGTATGGGTGTTCGATCAAGGTATTCTAAATTTTTCCTCACCTTCCCAATGCTCATTATCGTAGACATATTGCTAAAGTACCTTTAGAAGATTAACGATTGAAATTAAATTGGAAATTGACAGTAAAGAATAAGTCAATTGCTTTCTTTGAATGTTCCAATGGTTAATTAATTCATTTGGGTTGGTGGGAACTATCTTAAAGTTGTTCCATGGATGTCTTCGAGAAATTGTTTATGCTTTTTGTGGCTTTCTACTGTTGTGTATTTGGTGAAACAATCTGTTACCATCTCTGTTGACGGATCTAAAGATTAGGGCTCCAATTTTTAGACTCGAGTGATAAAATGTTAGTTTGAAAACTGTTTTGAAGCTAGAGGATCAAGAGGAATTGATTTTTCGCCCATGGCAGACAGCCAAGTTTTAGTTTGGGTTGGATGGCAAATTTCTCCTCCGAACTGTTGCATGCTTTGCTGTGAACAAGTATGGAGCAAAAAAAATATAATAAAATTAATATAATATTGCGAATGAGGTTCATAAGAGTTGATAAAGGGTAAATATCGTTTGACCCTATGTTTTATGACTTGAAATCAATGAAGTTTTACTAATTTCGAGATAGTCATACACCCCATAGATCCCCTGTTTTGCCCTTGATGGCAGTAAAAGGACTAAAGTGTCCAAGATGGAGCAAAATGGGAAGTCAACCAGATATTTGACTATTATCAAAATTGTTGGACTGAAGTGATTTTTAGGCAAACTGAGGTGCAAGTCAGTTTTTCCTTGATGTATACTGTCAGGGGTGGCCACTTCTCTGAAATTCAGATGATAATAACAATTATGATTGGCATTTAATTTTCTTTGTTTATACTTATTTTTTTCAGCTATTGAATGAAAGATACGGCTTAGTATAGTGGGTAAAGGTGCTAGTCAATTTTTGATTAAAAAGTAATGTTTATTCATTTTTGACAGGTATGTTGACACCTTCAACCAAGGTAGTACAAGCCCGGCAAAATTGTTCCAGTCTCCTTCTGTTCCTTCCATCAAACCGCCTGTTGCTTCAACTGCCAAGTTTTTTGTTCCCGCCCCTGCAACTTCAGCTGAACAACCAATGGAGGCTATTGCAGAAAATGTCCAAGAAGAAACTGCAAATTTTGAAAAGCCTTCAACATCCACTATGAATGACACCTCCCAACCTCCTACATCATCAATTACTAAACAAAGGTTCCCGAGCATGGACAATATCCCAACGGCTGTCATGACAAATGGCAATAGCTCCCTTCCATCTCACACCCGGCGAACAGCATCATGGAGTGGAAGCTTCAGTGATTCATTCAATCCGAATATGCCTCAAACAAAAGGTCAAGGTGAGGCGGTAAGCATGCCTCCATCTTCATATATGCCTAGTCCAATGAATGGTGGGAGTTTTGGGGATGACCTTCATGAGGTGGAACTTTGAACCAGATTAATGAAGATGTAAATATCAAAGTTTTGTTCCTTGTGGTCAATACTACAATATTCAAGGACACTATGCTGCTCATACACCTTTCGAATACAAAAAAGAACTGGTGGCACGCACTGGAATCAGTGGATCAGGGTTGGGTTCGATGGAAATGTATTTTACTTACAGCCGGCGCTTTTTTTAACTTAACTCACAAGCGAGGTCTCGTATGTATTATTTTTTCAGTTGCCACCGTGGTTGATGAGGAGCTGGTTTCTCTTTTTTTTGGTTTTTCCTGTGACTATAAGGCAAAGAAAGTCTAAATAGGGCGCACTATTGTACAGTTCATTTGTTCATTTGTTTTAAAACAGAAATGTCCCTGGAGATAGAAGAAAACCCTTAAAAGATATCTTGTCGGGGGAAAAAGGATCATGTACCGATTTTCAAAAAATAAGGTGTTTCGTCTCTTATTTTCCCTTTTAAGAACATTCCATAATCGATTACTTCGTGAAGTCAACCAGATGTTCTTTTACGGTAGGAACAATTGAATTAATAGTAAATGCACCCACAATTCACACACTGGACCAAAAACAGGTACATTTGATCATTGTTTTAAAACCCGGACAGGAGGGCAACTTGTTTCACTGCCTGGGTCACGGGTCAACCAGTCCAACTGGTTAGACCGGTCGGTGGAACCGGTGATGTCAGCACTGCCAAAAAAATATCTTTTTTTTTTTTTGAAAAATTTCAGATTTTCAATAAGAGAATACCTAACTTAATTACTATCCAATTTAAACTCAATAACAATCCCAACATGATTTAACTACGATCCAAAGTCTCCAAACATGATGTGTTCATCCATTACAAATTAAATACAAAATACATAATAATTAATAACAAAACATTTGGTGCAAGTGTTTTTTACATACAAATTCAGTGAACAAATTATGCGTCAAAGCAATAGATTCATCAAATAAAGACAGTGAAAATATCTTTACAAAAGCGAGAGGCTTTGTCTTTGTTGATTTTGAGCAAGAGGAGTGTTGTTGTCGTCGATTCCAGCAAAGGAGGGAAGTGTCGTCGTTCGTCGTCGTGGGAGAAGGGAGGTGCGTCGCCGCCGAAATCCAGCGAGGGAGTTGTTGCCGTCGTCGAGCAAGGGAGGGGAAGGGAGGTGCGGCGTCACTACCGAAATCCAGTGAGGGAGGTGCTACTGTCGTCGAGCAAGGGAGAAGGGAGGTGTGTCGTCACCGAAATCTAGCAAGGAGGTGTTGCCATTGTCGAGCAAGGGAGAAGGGAGGTGCATCGTCGTCGAAATCCAGCGAGGGACGTGTTGCTGTCATCGAGCAAGGGTCCAAGGGAGAATGGAGTTGAGATTAAGTTGAGAGATTGAATTGAGACTGAGTGCAGTTACTTTGAGCAAGGAGTTGAGATTTTAGAGAGTAGAGTCACGTGAAAAAAACTTAGATTTAGGGTTTTTTTTATTTTAAACATTGACCCAGTTTATCAAAAGATCCGTTTCCAGTTTAATAGCGGGTTTAAATGGTTTTTTAATTAATAGCTGGTTTTATATTGACTCGGATCGCCGGTCCGGTCCGGCTTTTAAAACAGTGCATTTGATGTATAATAAATCTGGGCTAGGCTGTAAGAAATTTCTTAATAATATCAGACGTTGCAAGGCTCTTGAATATTAAATGCAATCTCAATTCATGGAGTTTACATCTGCTCATCTTCAGGGATCAACAATAACTTTCTCAATATATCATCAAAATTCATGCGGGGAATATAGAATATAAACATGCAGTAATTTTACATAAATTTTGAATGTCACGATTACATGGCTAAAACCATCCAACAATTACACAATCCTTCACACCCTACAGACCCTATAACTCAACCAAAATATGTACAGAAAACATGAATATGAAGAGAAGCAACAAAAAAACCTCAGTCTTGTCTATAATTTTATAACAACAGAAGTCAATCAAATTTTGCCATTAAAATTCAGCAGAACCAGGTGATCGAGGGAAAGGTATAGCATCTCTTATATTTTCTATGCCAGTTGCAAATTGAACAAGCCTTTCAAACCCCAGTCCAAAGCCCGCATGAGGAACTGCAAAAACATAATTAAGGTGAAAAAAAAAAAAAAATTTGGAAAGGTTTATAAAAATGCATTTATATGTTTACTATTCACAGCTCCAGAATATTAATCTAAAAAATATAAAAAATAACGAAAGACTGCCAATCTTTTCTTGGAATATCCCTGAACTACAATTACTGCAAAAAATTTATAGATGAAAGGATTGGACTGGGTATTGCTGCGTCTAGGTCTATGGTGGTTATCAAAAGAAATAGTTGCTTCAGTTCATCTAATCTATCTTCCAGATATTCAAGCCGTTCTTCTCTTTGGCTTCCACCAATAAGCTCCCCAACCTGGAAAAAAAAAACAATAACAAAAAATAAGCTCAGTAGTTTGACAATAGCAAATAATTACAGAATATACAAACATATATTACAAAAAGAAACGCAGCACACATGCTACAAGCTCACTGCCTGCTTCAACATATCAGTATGAGGATACAGAATATAATATTCTTTGCTGGCATAGAATAGTATAGAATCACCAATATAATCTCACTTCTAAAACTGTTTTAGTTTTCAATTGCTACAAAATACCGGTAATAAACAAAATATAGAGAAGGGATCCAGCTATTCCTATATCTTTTGTATTTCTATCAGTTTATGTACATTATCATAAAGCAATGCTTTTCAATCATGGTGGTTTATAGTTTTCAAGTAGTCTATTAAAGGTTGGTAGAGGGCAATGACAATGCATGGTAAGATGAATTTTTACGAGGCAACAGTCTGGTTCTATGACGAAGGAACTAACAAAGGTTTTCTGACTTGGTAAAATAACACACCACAAGCTGACTTTCCTATGCTCAAAATTTCTGCTACCACTTGTTTTCAGAAATCCAAGAAAAAAAAAAGAGAGAGAGAAAAGATGCATGTACCCTTTCTGGACAAAAGAAATACCATAACCTAATGTTCAATACAATTGGACTTCTTTAGAGTGGTATTCTTTCACCTACATAAATGTGCTTAAGTTTACCTGATTATAGAAGATACACAACATAAAGCATAAGCCTAGAAGTCATGCAAATTCCACTAGGCATAAATAGAGCCAATATCACTAATAGCCTGGAATTGTATTTGTAGACATTATGAGATTCAAGCATAAAATCAAGAATACTATATGGGGGAGTGGGGGAAGACTCAAAAAGTGTTCATCAGCATTTATTTATTTAGCTCACCGATAAAATATTAAAAAAAAAAAAAAAATAGAATGCGACATCGGTTCACTGACTGCAAATCAAGCATTAAAACCTTGACATTACTACTGGTCCTATATTCAAAAGCTGAGAGAGAATATTCAAGAGAGTACTTCCAGTCTACTAGTCATAATTGTTTTTGACAATCTAGCATGTACAGTTACAANCCTGGAATTGTATTTGTAGACATTATGAGATTCAAGCATAAAATCAAGAATACTATATGGGGGAGTGGGGGAAGACTCAAAAAGTGTTCATCAGCATTTATTTATTTAGCTCACCGATAAAATATTAAAAAAAAAAAAAAAAAAATAGAATGCGACATCGGTTCACTGACTGCAAATCAAGCATTAAAACCTTGACATTACTACTGGTCCTATATTCAAAAGCTGAGAGAGAATATTCAAGAGAGTACTTCCAGTCTACTAGTCATAATTGTTTTTGACAATCTAGCATGTACAGTTACAATAAGATAAAAAGCATCATTACTCGAGGAACCAGCATATCCATGGCTGCCACAGTTTTCCCATCATCATTCTGCCGCATATAGAATGCCTTGATCTCCTGCAGTTACATTTAAGGAACTTTGAAATATTAGTTCCCAGCATGATCAAGAATTACAACAAAATATCTCCTACTTTCTTCTAGAAAAGAAACAGAAAAGAGGGGGGGCAGCATGCCTTTGGATAGTCTCTGATTATGACAGGGCATCCGCCAAAAGCCTCTTCAGTTATATAACGTTCATGCTCACTCTGCAAATCACATCCCCACTTTACCTAAAATAAGGGCATCACCCATCAAGTGTAAGTAGTTATTATCCATTAAATCATTTCAATTCAATGGTGTGACAATTTTTACAACATAAAAAAGCACTGAAGTACTTTCAACCATCATTGCATCACATTAACAACTCATTGCTAAAATATTATCAATGGAAAGGAGAACATCAGAAAACAATAATTAATATAGGAAAGTTTATACTTATGCTACCTTTAAATAAAAGAATTGAGAAGTAGCTCAAATTGTTGGCGGCAAGAAAAATAATTCTCAGTAATAATAAATATCATAATGGATCCTCTATTAGGAATTTCCATTGAACATCCATGATAAGAAATTGTTTTTGCCAACTAAAAAATAGAGGTAGGAATGGTTTAGCACACCCTAAAGGATGCTGTAATATAATCTTGTAAACTGAATTTGCATCCATGGTTATAAGAAAGATTTAAACATAGTGACTAATATACATTACCGGGAAATCAAATTTCTTATTTGCTCTTAGAAGGAGCTCAACTGCATCAGTATAAGTCAACTGAACAAAATCTGTCTCAGCCACAGCCTATTAACAGGAAAAAATGCACCCAAATATCAAGGGATTAATAATATTATTGTAAATTCGAAAGAATAAGGTCTAAAGCAAAAGCTTATAAAGACCAAGTAAAGGAACCAAAAAAGTGAAAAGTATTAAGCATACAACAGATAGGTTTAAGAAAGATAAGTTACACTGGGAGCTCATACACTCAATCGATCAATGATCCCTTTCTCAATCCAAGTGTTGAAAAAATCCATGTCTTCCTTGCAAGTATCAAGAATATGTCTCACCTTTCACACATAAGGATGTATATGTCACTATTTCATTCAAAAAGATAAATTCAAGAAAATATATGCATGCGGAGAATGGAAGATCACAATTTATTCATAAAATTTTAAATTGACAACAGATATGAAAAGTAACATACTACGTACTGGAGATAGGCAGTTGCGCAGGCCATGTCATCATTCAGATCGGCAAAAGCTAGTTCAGGTTCAATCATCTTAACAAAAGATACAAGTGAATAAGAAAAAATGTTTCTAAGATACTCAATGCAATAAGAATTGGAGGCACTAATCTTGAGAAAAGATATGAAAGTTTGAAAAAGTACAAGATCAAATAGAAATCCACTTACCCAAAATTCAGCTAAGTGTCTAGAAGTGTTAGAATTTTCTGCTCGAAATGTGGGACCAAAAGTATACACCTGAAAGTATATAAGTTTGATTCGTTTAAAAAGATAAGTTCATTATTCATCCAATTTGTGATTAAAAAAAAAAAAAAAATGAGGACAAGTATGAGATAAGAAAGAGATACATCTGAAAGAGCAGTTGCATATGTTTCAGCATTAAGTTGGCCTGAGACTGTCAAGAAGGCTGGTTTTCCAAAAAAATCCTGAATAAAAATATGAAATGAAAATTCAATTAATGGCAACTGAAAAAATAAATATTTGTTTAGACCATCTCCAGAACTAACCAGACTCCACTTTAGATTCAAGACAATAGGTCTTCCAAGAAGCATGCAAACATGTTGTTTTAAGGTGGTTCACATTTACAATATTCATATGGTTTAAAATTCAACAATTGCTCCATATGTGATTTCAAGACCTCTACTCAAACAACCAAAATACCAAACCGCTTTTATCCTTTTTAAAACTTCTGAAGCATCATCTATTCCTGAGTTGTGGAAAATTTGGAATGACAGCTTTTACTTTCCATTAGAACTTCATTTGGGCATTAAAGTTTTAAATGTGTTGGTTCTTTCTTATTATTACAGAAGTGCTCTATTGTGCTTCATTTGCTGTATACTACTAAGCAAAATTAAGTGTAAAAGTGAAACATACTCACCTGTGACCAGTCTATTAAACCTTCCTTCGTTTTTGAAATGGCATTGACAGGAGAATCAGCAGCTTCACTGGTGCTGGGAATCTATCAATTGAACAACGTTTACTGAGAGAGATTCACAGAATAATTTAATGCAAAAGCGGTGCTATGCGACAACAATAACAGTAATTAGTTATGACCTCTCACTGAATATCTATGAACAGGTGCATCATACTGAAACAAAAGGTCTCCCCAGGGAGACACTAATTATCAGAGCAAACAAGCAAGCAAATAAATGGTGCAGTACACAAAAAGTAATGGTCTGCACGAAAAACATGCATATTAATGTTTGCAAAGATATTGTGCATAAAACAGAAATGGAAATCAAGACACACCAGAGATACAAATACAAATAATTGATACATCCATATTGATTTATTTGTGCTAAAAGAATAATAAACATAAAGAAATATAAAAATTAATCACTTCAAAACACAATACTATCTTAGGCTAAAGAGCGTACCAATGTAGTCACACAGAACTGTTCTCCCGCTCCTTCACAATCTGAAGCTGTAATGATAGGACTAGAGATCCAAACAAACCCATTTTCTTGAAAAAACTTATGTGTAGCATAGGCCAAAGCATTCCTTACTCTTGCAACCTAAAACCACTTCCACCAGTTACCAAAGAGAGAAGTACCACCGAAAAAAAAAACACAAAAACCATATTATTCCTTCAAGGATGATAATTAACCCTGGTATCCTAACAAGTCACTGTCAAAGGCATGCCAATACAGAGACCTAATCCAGGCTTTAAGCACATTTAGGAGAAAGAAACACAATACAATTAAACCAATCAAATGAAAAACTTACCGCACCAAATGTATTTGTTCTAGGACGAAGATGTGCTTTAGTTCTCAAATATTCCCTACTGACCCTTTTCTTTTGAATGGGATAGGAAGGATCACTTTTGCCAACCTAAGAAAGAAATGTATAATCACAATCAATTTAAAAAAAATTCAACAGAAAACTGGCAGTCAGAAGCATATAATTTACATGATATTCTACTCAAATACAAACATTCAAATAATATTTCAAAATAGTTATCCACTGTTATCTTGTTAAGCCAGAAACTTTATCTCCTCTTAAGTCTTAAATTTGTAGCGCAATTTTTGTTCAACTAGAATTACAAGCAATGCCGTACCACGACAATCTTCTCGACCTTCAATTCCACTTTTTGCTTTGATCCTTGGCTTGCCACCACAGTGCCTTGTATCCATATTGATGCCCCGGTTGTGATCAAACCAGATTCTACCTATTAATAAGCATAAAAATTATTAAATTTGACTAATTAAATCACAAAATGGTCAATGCATTTCAAATTTTTTACTCTCAGAGAAACAACACCTGATCATAACCTTCAGCTTCAGAGGTCATCACACATTGCATATTTGCGAGGCACGAACCATCATTAACCTATTAAACCACCAAAAAGGAAAAATTTATCTTCAACTCTAAATTATATAAACAATAATAATAACAATAAAAAAAGAAATTTTGGTACCTCGATGAATGTGACACTGCTCTGGACCCGAAGAGTCCGAACCCAACCCATCACAACAAGCGTCTGCCCGACCCGGCCTAAACCTTGGTCAGCTCCACCTTTAATATCGACAATCTTAAACTTCTTTCTGAACTCCCCAACTTTACTTCCCATTTCTCCCTTCTGATATTCCATCAATTCCGGCTTCGTCCTTTCGCCAGAGGGCAAAGCAGCGGAAATCACGGAGCAGAAGAATCTTGGGCGAGCAGTTGGGTGGCGGTGGAGAAGTGGCGGAAAAAAATGGTGCTATTTGGTTAGGTATTTGGGGTAAGAGGATAGGAAGCGGAGAGTAGAGTAAGGCCGCAACCGGAGAGGAGTGGCCGGTGAAAAAGCCGCAGCCATTTCTGCGGTGGATTGGGGATTTGTGTGTACTGGTTTATTGTGCTTGTTATCTAGTATAGTCTTATAGTATCTAATGAGAGGAAGCAGAGGCCTCAAGGCTTTTTTTTTTTTTTTTTTTGGCTAATATGTTTGGGGAATATCAGAAAGCTCCCTTTGAGTAGCGGAATTCTTACGCGGATCGTAATAATTCTATTACATATTTCTAGTATGACAATTATATTTTTCTGTTATTTACATGAATGAAAAATTAATTAAATAAATCTAAGCTAATTTCTAAAAGTTATTGAAATTAGTAAAAAAGCATTTCTACCAATAGTTTAATTTATTCATGATCTAAGTTGAAATAAAATAAAAACCAAAATATATATGATCTTTTGTGATCAAATACAGTAACAAACATTGTTGATACCAAAAAAAGTACCAACTAGAGAGATCTGATTGACCGTATTGAAATCGGAATGGATGTGCGCGTGATTAATTAAAATCAGCAATGAAATGTGAAACAAGCAGAAAGTAAATGAAAATAACACAAGAGATTTTTAAAGTGATTCGATGAGTTAATTCTCAAACCTACGTCCACTATTTATATTGTTCTTCTTTTATTGAATACAATATGCTCTCTCTTTCTAATAAATCTCAACCCCTTTACATTGTTTTTTGAGAGTATTTATAAAGAAATTTTGAAATAGTAAATGAAATAAATTTGGGATTGCAATCATATCTAGTATATATCCTATGATTTCTATGATTGTGCGCCAAAGTCAAGCTAAAAGGATATTGGCAATATGCTCTCCGAGATATTAGGAGATCTGGACTTATCTTCGAGTTGTTGGACAACTGTTACGACAAGCTTCATTTTAATCAAGCTCTATCCTCTTGCAAACTTCAAATTGCAACGAGCTTTATGTTTCACGAGCTATTAACATTTTTGAGCTTACAGCAAAATTCATACACAACATCTGCCCCCTAGTTTTCGGAGGTCATGTCGACCTTCGAAAACTGAATACTTGAGGTTTGTTGTTAGCGCTCGAATCCTTCACTAACCTAACTCATAAAAACATAAATTGTCAGAATTCTGGCGAGCTTTCATATGTGACCTTCGCTTACGGTGACATGGTTGAGACTTTGAAACTATCCATTCAACGGTTTCAAATTCGAATTTGGAATAAAGGTATCAAGGTAACTTCCAAGTTGGTGCATTTAATGTCATCGTACGTGACAGTTACTTTTACTGCATGTTTACTACGACAGTTGGCCATAAGTGTAACTGAAGCGACGTGCAACGCCACACTCGTAACTGAAGCGACGTGCAGCCATGGTTATGATTATTTGAAATGACGGTTATGCACCCTTAACGGATCATCGCCACGTGCCCCGATTGAACAGGCAAGATTGCTCAACAAATGGAAGGTTGAGATTCGCCATGAGATGGATGGCTTGAATTGTTTCCCGCCCAATTTCAACACTATAAAACGGGCTTCCTAACTTGTTTTTTAGCAAAGATTTTCATTCCTCCACTGTTGTATTCTTTCTTTGCTCACTTTGCCTAGAATTTTCCTTAGTCTTTTACGGCAATTTTTCCGGTGAAACTCTTCATCTTCTGTTTGCAAGTAAGCATTCTAATCTTTCTTTTCTGGTTTCCTTTGCTATTTTAGCTTTATTTTGTTGTCGGAATGACCATTGCAATGGCCTGATTCGAACTAAGGTTCGACTCGTTGAGTTAGCCCCTGGGAAACATTAGGTGAGTGATGGTCGGAATCCTTTGTTAGGATTTCTGGGTTGGTTGATGGGATTCATCGTGGGGTGTTCACTTGCGAGCTCTCTAGATGACTAAACTGAATGCAAGTGTAGATAGGTCACTTACTGTCGAGATAGGTAGTAACACTTGTTCCTTCGTGTTTCAGGTATTTAGAGGCAAGCTACCCAAGATGTCAACTAGCAACCCAAGCATTGAGAGGCTTTTTGAGGAGGGCTCCCCGGTAGTTCCAACTGAGTCTCGGGACAAATTTCAAGAAGAACTCGCAATCGAAGTGTTAGAAATAAGTCAAGGTAGTGAGGCTGAGGTTTCGTGGAGTACGAGTGAGAAGCCTATTGAGGCGAGGCCTTTGCAAACAATTAGACCTAGAAAAAAGCCAACCTCGTCAATCACTGACGAGTATCCTGCTCACATAAAAATACAGTACGTGATCGACAACACTCTCAGTTTGCCAAAGGGTTGCTCGCGGAAGGATCCCCCCGCTGGCTGGGTGGCGCTCTCCAAGACCCTTTTAAGGTAAGGAACGTTAATCCTACCTCACCCTTTTATCGTCCATGTTTTAGCACATTTTAACATCATTCCCCTTTAGCTAATGGGGAATTCCTACATCATAATTGTAGGAATGTACATAGCCTTTAGGATAAGTGGGCTAGGCAAGTTATCCGTCGAAGAGCTCGTTCATCCGTACGGCTTGAAAAATAGTCAAGATGTACCTACTACCTCTCCAAGGCAAGAAGAAATGCCTCAAAGTATTGGTCAGGGTCCCAAAGAAGACCGAGAATTGGGATTCCGAGTATTTCTTCTTCCATTACGAGGATGATGGTTTCTTTAGGGATGAAACTCATAGGTGTTCATTTATTTTCTTTGTGGTTAACCACCTACCAGTCGGGCTTTAAACATCTTACTTCATTTTCTTTGCAGAGAACCATGACCAGAACTTTGCACCAGCAAGCTCGATAAACCGATTAGAAACATTTAGCAACCTGCCTAAGTGAGCTCGCGACGTGACACAACTAATTTGTGGTGGGTAGGTCTGGGTACTCGCCGTTATCTGAAGGAACTGGAACCTACCAGTTCCTAGAATATGGAACCAGAACTTGAAAAACAGGTTCCGGTTTCGGTTCCGGTTCCGATTCCGGTTCCGATGCAAAATGGTTCTTATTAGTTTCAAAATTAACAAATAAACCTTTAAAAAATTATAAATACACCCAATCTGTTTTAATTAATTACAAAATGACTTAGATATAATATTACATTTAATTAATTAAAGTTAAAATCCACCGTCAATTTCAATGACTTGATAGAAAATTCCTGGTAAGTCATAATTTCTTGATAATGCATCAGACTCATAAAGCATTACTTTTTCTTTAATAAATTCTCACTCATTTTCACGAATCTCACAAAAGTATTAACCCACTTTCTCTTTCTTCTCTTCCTCTTCAAGCCCTAATGTCCTTTCTTCTTACCAACCGTCAAAGTCATGGAAGAAGTTGCAGAAGAGGCAGCCAACATTTTTTAACTCTTTAACTGTTTTTTTAAGATTCTAGGGTCTTAGGAGTTGTAGGATTCTGCACTACAACTTGTTGGAGGAGTGGATTCACAACTTGAAAAGCTGAAAAACAGAGTTGAAGATGGTTGGATTTTTACTTAGAGTAGTAGAAGAAAATTGATTGAAAATGAAGACCTTTACGTCGGTTCCCGTGCTCGGTTCCTACACTACAAGAATTGGAAGCGGAACAAGAACTAGTCGGTTTCGGTTCCAGTTGGTTCTTTTGCACACCCCTACAACTAATCACCCTCTCGCATCTAATTCAATTTAGGTTTTGCCCAGCTTTAGCGAAGTTCGACACCATTTTTGTCGTCAAACCCAAAAGAAAACCCAAAAGCAAGGAAGGTTAGTGTGAATTAGCTCGCTTTTTGGAGCAATAACATTTTTCTTTCATGAAAATTTGGCGTATTGTTGTTTTGGCAGATATGAAGGTTGCTAAGAGGCCTACGAACTTCAGGCAACATGTCGTGGTGAAGAAACAGGCTGTGGCTTCCAGTGAGTTGAGTAAGGTCGACCCAAAACCAAGGTCCCGGGCTGGTGCTAAGAGAGTCAAGACCGAGCTTGAAGGGTTCCCGAACTCAAAGAAACCAACACTCAAGCCCAATGAGGGTTCGAAGAAACTTATAATCGAGTTAGAAGAGAGCTTGAAGGAAATCGTTGCCGAGCCCAAGGAAGGCTTAAAGAAATCTGCGACAGTCCTGGGAAGTGACGAGGGACACTTTTAAAAAGAAAACTCCAACAATTGTAAAGACCACCGATCATGTGACCGGCCAAAGTACCTCGTCGAAGGTTTAGATCGACAAGGAGAGAGTGGATGAGCTAGAGACTCAAATAATGCAACTACACAAACACCTTGCTTTGGGGCTCTAATAATGAGGGACAATGTGCCCATAAAATTGTTAGAGGAGTACCAATCCATGGCTCCTCACAAGAGACTACATCGTGCCACGAGCATGATAGCCAAGGTGATCTTGGCTCGCTCCTTCCCTTTTTCTTTTCCCTTCACTTTCTTTTCTTTATTATCCTTTTTTTCCCTTTGTTTCAGACTTGCACCATGATCCAACAGCTTTATAATAATAGCTACGAAACATTGGAGAATGTAGATAAAGTCCTCATTGATGCGAGGACAATAAGGGAAGAAACACTGGAGAAAGTGAAGAAGTTGAAGTAGGAGATAAAAGTGATGAAGAACGAGCTTTCTAAACAGAAAGCTGATCAAGCAAAGACTTTGGCTCTCAAGGAAAGAGAGTTCACCGATAAGCTCTGCCAAGTGGAGAAGTCCAAGAGTTCACTGACCTTGGAGCGAGATCATCTGCGTGGCCTCAACAATAAGTTGACATCCGAGCTTTCAATTGCATAGGCCAACCTCAAAGATCTGACGGACAAATTATCCTATTGTGAGATTGAGTTGTTGCATGCTCGCGAGAATTATAAAAAGGCAACGGCGAATGTCGTCAATCTGATGGAGGAGCTCGAAAAAGAAAAATTCAATTGCGAGAACACGTGTTGGGAGCTATTGGTGAACCTGGTCAAGTTCATGTGGGAGAAAGATCCCTTGCGTGATTTCTCTTTCCTTCTTGTGGAGTATCAGACCGAGGTTGAAAGAATGAAAACTGAGGTAGCGGGGCTAAAGTTCATTTACCTAGACCTTTCTAAGTCTGACAAAGATTCAGACAATGACACCTAAGACAAGGAAGAGCTAGATGTTAGCTTGCCTATTTTGGTCGTGGTTCCTGGTGACAAAATGGGGTCACCTCAGAGAATCAAGTTGAGGCTCTTG